TAGCCCACAATATGATAACCTGACTGTCAGATGTCCTTTTATTAAGATATCTCATTGAGAAAATGAATGAGTCTCTGTTTATTAATAGTGAATAATGTTGGCTCCCTAGTTAGAGAAGTAGGTGCATATTTCTTTATACTCACCCTGAATTGCCCACTTTTACCTCAGTTTGTAGGAAAAGACAATTTCTGACAAATATTCCTTGTGTATCTTCAGGAACTTACTCTGCAATAAGCAAATAGAGAAGTGAACTTTCCAATTTATTTTCTCAAAATTGTGAGTTTGGAAGCACTATGGCTAATCCTGGCATTAAATTATCTGGGGAAATTATAGCACCTAATGAAATTTTTAATAAAGGATAGGATCATCAGATTGGTTGCAGCATTTATAAATTAAGGTGCACTAAATTCTTCTGATGTTAAAAAAAAAATTATATCCAGGGATGTGCTGGAGCCAACTCAAACTGGATCATAAAAGAACTGCTTATTACATTTTCAGGAATTTTGTATATATGTTGCCTTTGCATTGGTAACTTGAAATGAGATGTGGCAAGAATAGTTATACCATGGAAATTGGCCAACACTACAAAACTGGGCCTTTTTCTTCTTTTTCCTGGAGGGCCAGTTTACCAGCACACTGGTAAATATAGCTAATATTTTAGAGGTGGACAGTTTGTTGATGACAAATCAATAAGGCTAGCATGAAATAACCAAGTAACTTTTATAGGTACTTGGATTTTAAAAGCCACAAATTTGGGGTATAGAAGAAAGGGCGTTTTTTTTTTTTTTTTTTTTTTTTTTTTTTAAATAGATTATTTGTTCACAGAAGCAGACAAAAAAGATTAGAAATTAAGATCTTTGTATTTGCTTCTTACACATCCCAGATCAGACTGCTGATTTCTTGCAAATGTTGTTAAAACATATACTCTGGGTTAGAGGAGATAGCCACCTTCTGGAACCTGTGATAGCAGCTTGCCCAGCTCCTATACAGATAGCACAGTTTAGCTGACCTCATATGCAGCATCTTATCTTATTACAGTCTTAGACTATTTCTTCTGGAAAATAAAAAGACTGAAAAAATATTTAGGTGGAGGCTCTGGTTGATTATAATCTGAGGCTCAGTGCATGAACTTTGTGCACATGTATAGTCTCTAGAGGCTGCTGCTGCCAGCCAAGGGGGTGGGGGACTCCTTTCTCCAAGCTGCCTGCTGTCACCTGCCACCATTGGCCCTATCCCCTGGTTGAGCTAGTCAAGGGGACAATTTACATATTGGGCTTTTATTATATAGAGTAATGGTGGAACAAGTGGAGATTAATGTGAGTTGACCTAAAGTCCTTCAGTGGGAAAGGATTTAATGGGAAATCACACAGAGGCAGGGCTTCAAGTATTGCTCACTGATAAGAACATGTTTGAGTTACTACTATGAGGCGTAAGGTTTCTGTCTTGTCAAGGAAGAGATGGATTATTTGTGACATTCCAGAGCCAAACATGCTATTGGACAATATTTGTATGAAGGAATAAATGATAAGACATGGGTCTTATATATTTTTCAATTTGTTTTGCAGTGACACAAAGCATATATGAAATCCTCAAATTTGCTTTAGTGGAGACTTGAGATAGATATGTTCTCTATTTAAAATGAAATTTGAGAAGCAAAAGCAACCTGGAATTCCTCTCTTCTCCCTCCTCACCCCTATACTTTTAAAAACCATTTAAATATTTTTGAAAATTCTAAGGGATTGTGTCAGATCTCATTGTGTCATCTTTTTAATGTCTTCTTACAACGGGTTAATAATTCTGCTTACCGGATAAGAGAAAGTGACTTGTGTCAATCATCTTTGGACTGAGCTAATTATTTTCATGGAAGGGAGATTCGTTTCTATCCTTGTGGCATTTCTAGGGCTCATATTTTTAATGGAGCACTTAGCTAAACATGGTGGGATTCTGAGGTTGATAATATCCGATCTTTATATTATTAGAAAATATGATCACATTAGTGGCCTCATTCTTTGATCCAAAGAAAATAAAGGAATCTTTAATAAAGAGAATATTATCAATTTGATTAAAATTAATTTCCTGAAAATAAGTCCTGGTTATTGGAAAAAATAATCCTAGAGTGCAGCAGTCATTATGACAGTACTCCTGATATAGTTGAGGTCAGGAATGGTGAGGATGCTTAGGAAAGGAGAGCTCATGAATATCATAGTCAGGAACCAAGTTTTACATCCTGTGTTGAAGACTCAAGAGAATCAACTCTTTACCTCAGAAGAAATAAAGTTTTGGCAAACCAGATTAAGAAAACAACATAGAGCTACATAGCCCTATTAAAGTAAAGGTTTCACAAGCAGACTTTCTAAATTGAGCCTATTCTGAAGTCCTTAACCATTGGCCATCATCTCCATCTCTTTACTAGGTGAAAATTCCTGCCACTAATATTTACATATAGGCCTCAGGAAGAGGATCAATTAAAAATAATATTATTAAATATACCAATAACAGTCAACTAGTGTTCAGTGTCTATATTTAAGTAATTATTTAGATAAGAAATAAATAGCTTTTTTTGTTTTACCTCATAGCATAATTATTTTCATAAATTACCTTTAAAATTAAAGATTTTTCAGTATAGAAAGCATTCCCACTCTAGAAAGTTTTATAAAAAGAGAAATGTAGGAAAAAATATAGTTTTGTCACCAAAGGCAACTGAGCTAATACCAGTCTCTTATTTTCTTCTGATATTGTTTCAAGTCATAATTCCTATTGCTACTGCTGCATTTAATATTACTGCCAGTTTAATCACCCACCATTTACTGAAAGTAGCACTATATTTTCATTGGTCCTCACAGATAATTCTATCAGATTGGTAATTTTTAAAATGCCATTTTTACAAATGATAAAATGGAAATCCAGAAAAGTAAGACAACCTGCTCAAGGTGTAGATGAAAAGACTCACATTGGGTCCTGGATACATCTAATAACTCCAAACATTCTTTTCTTTATATTTCATCACACACAGACCTTCTTATTCTAGAGATAATTCTGTATCTTTTATTTTCACTTCAAAAATACTATAAGAATTTCCTATCCATGAATACTCTCTATAAACATAATTTTAATTGTATTACAACAGTCCATTCTACAAATGTTTGCATATTGATGAATTTTCAGTTTTATGTATACCCCTTAATTTTTTAAAAATATATTTTTATTGGCTTCAGAGAGGAAGGGAGTGGGAAAGAGAGAGAAACATCAATGATGATAGAGAATCATTGATCGGCTGCCTCCTGCATGTCCCACAATGGAGATCAAACTTTCAACCTGGACATGTGCCCTGACCTGGAATCAAAACATGACCTCCTGGTTCATAGGTTGATGCCCAACCACTGAGCCACTCAGACCTGGTGACTCCTTCATTTATTAAAGCCAGATCATTATAAAACATGATGTGTGAAGGCTAGTCCAGTCAGACTGAGGTCTACTAGTAGATGAAAAGCTACCCAGACATGGGCAGGGCTGATGCTGTAGTCAGTATTCACTACTGCAGGTCATTTCCCTGAAAGCCACTTGCTAGGGAAATGTGACAAAGACTGCTGTAATCAAATGCTTTTCAAATTGAGATATTTCACATAAAATTCCAAACGTGTTGCTTCTCCCCTATGTTGCTGAGGTCTTTGCTTTCTTCTTAGCCAGTTTCTGACTTCTCTGACAGTATTCTGATTATGTTTCCTGACAAAATATTTTAAAATTTCTATTCACTTTATTTATTTTTTATATCCTCGAGAAGTCATTTGAAGCTTATTATCCCAGTGAATCAAATTATCACCTTCTTTTAAGTTCTGTAAAACTTTCCTGTCAAACACTGAATCCCAATTATAGAATTTTAAAATATTTTCCCCACTGGCTACCCATTTAATTCCATATCTAAATCATGTGTTTGAAATGTCTTGTTCAATAGAGTCTTATCTTTATGGTTACTTCAATTTAGTTGCTTGGGGAAATAAATATTCTTTACAGAAGGATGAGATATGAATAAGTAACTCTTATTTCTACCAGTGGTTTCAAACAGCTGATTAGGAATCCAGTTCTTACCATTTTTTTTTATTGAATACTCATACTATAACCAGTATTATGGCAGATAGACACTGAGCATAGAGTAGAGGAAAAAATTAAAAATTATTTCTCACTTTATAGATCATAAACTCCAATGGAAGAGGCACAATACATCCTGATGTTTTTTTATAATACATAAACTCAGTAATAATAGTGTTCTATAAAATGTTGTATTTTGGCCAAAACCGGTTTGGCTCAGTGGATAGAAAGTCAGTCTGTGGACTGAAAGGTCCCAGGTTCAATTCAGGTCAAAGGGCATGTACCTTGGTTGTGGCATGTACCTTGGTTTGGCTCAGTGGATAGAAAGTCAGTCTGTGGACTGAAAGGTCCCAGGTTCAATTCAGGTCAAAGGGCATGTACCTTGGTTGTTGAGAAGTCAGTCTGTGGACTGAAAGGTCCCAGGTTCAATTCAGGTCAAAGGGCACATCCTCAGTAGGGGTTGTTCAGGAGGCAGCTGGTCGATGTTTCTCTCTCATTGATGTTTCTAGCTTTCTATTGTTCTCTGTAAAAAATCAATAAAATATATTTTTTAAAATGCAGTTTGTTCAGATTCTTAAAATAAGTTACAAACTTCAGTTTAATATGTGTGTTTATTGATTTTTCTAAAATCTCTGTGACTATTAAAAAAAACATTCTAAAACAAAATGGAATTGTATGATTTTCTCGTTTGTCACATGTCCATTAAATGATACTTTACTTAAAGGAGAATTTCTTAGTACTTTTCCTGTGGCAATGGAATTACTGTGTTCTCAGGTCTTTCAGAAAATGGTTGGATTCCTAACAAGAAAATGCATGTATAATGTACTCAACACTGTATTGTCTGGCTCTGCTAACCCTCAGAAACTGAAAGCACTTGTCAGCTGTGCCAGTAAATCTTCTCTTTCTTGCCCTAGGTCCAAGGATCTCATAAAGGAAGCCATCCTTGACAATGACTTCATGAAGAACTTGGAGCTGTCGCAGATCCAGGAGATTGTGGATTGTATGTATCCAGTGGAATATGGCAAAGACAGCTGCATCATCAAAGAAGGAGATGTGGGGTCACTGGTGTACGTCATGGAAGGTATGGTTGGCAACTCTGCTCTTTTGAAAATCAAATATTCCCTTTTCATCTAATCAACCTGCACACAGATGACATGAAACAACTTCATTTTCTCCCTTTGTTGTTGTTGAGAAACAGTTTGAAAAGAGGTGAAATGCTATTTAGATGCTAATTGTGTTTAGGATATTAATGGAGAATTTCATATTTTTTTCAGACAAGGAAGTATGGTTGATAATTGAAAGAGAGAAATGTGATTTATTGCACTAAAACCAGACACTGTCAGGTCACTGAGCAAGCTCAGAAAGCTGCCATGGCAGCTCATGTCTATTAAAAGTATGTTTGGTCAGATAATCAAGTAGCTTCAACTCTACCTTTAACTTTCAGTATGTGACTAGGTTTTCTGCTATGTTGCTTTCATAAAAAGAGGATGGAATGATCCCAGTGTTTTATGTGTGTGTGATAGATGCCGAGTATAAAGGTTGGATGGCATTTTAGCTGCCTAATTAATAAGAGTGATAAATTGTTTTCCTAAATCTTGGGCATACTAAGATAGAAACTACTTTTTAAAAGAAACAAGGCATGCACTATGTAAATATGTTTTATGCTTAGGTAGATTTTAATAATGTGTATTTCTAACTCGGAATTTATATTGACATGTTTTCCTTTTGTGAGAAGAAAAAAACCTTTGAAATAATGTGTGCTCGTTTCCTTTCAGTTAAAGTCCCTACAGTGACCATCTATCTATATAAAACCCTAATATGCAAATTGATCAAACTATGGAATGACCAGTCACTATGATGCACATTGATCACCAGGGGGCAGACGCTCAATGAAGGAGCTGCCCCAGCCCACAAGCCTGGACTGGTGATGGTGGTGTGGGGCGGGGCAGGCCTGGTGAATGGGAGGCACAGGCCAGCCAAGGCCAGTGCCAGCGGGGCCTCTGATCGCCCCACTGGTCACCCCACAGATCGGCCCTAATGGCTGGCCCATCCTAGGGACGCTACCTGTGCACGAATTTTGTACTTTGGGTCTCTAATAATCTTATAAACTGATGCCAGTCTGACCCAAGCTATAATTCTAGCCAGTTCAGTGTAACTTTGGCTGATCTTGTGCTAATATCCTTATATCTGAATAATTAAAAGAAAAACAAACCCTGTCATTTATTTTTTTTTTTAAGTTTTAATTGAGGAAATGTTTCATTGTTTAATTAGTTTTGTATCAACACATTCAATCTTTTCAAATTTTAGATAGCAGTGTTCTCATTATAGGTGGATTCTTTTTCATGTGTGAGCATTAATATTTATAAAGGGTGTGCCATAGCAACCATGAATGAACAGGATACAGAGGAACTTTCACACACTCACTTATTATCAAGACATTCCAAAAAACCCCAAGGAGTTCAAATGGAAAATCAGTCCAATTTTCCCCACATCTCTTCAGTTAAAGGAAGTGTTCTTCATAAGATGCTTGTTTAACAAGTGCCTGAACTGATTTTTATTGTAGCCTGGGCAGTATCCCAAGTGTTATTGCATACCTAAATGCCATAGTATCTCATCATTTTAACAAAAGAGAATATTTATATGGTAAGACTTCACTAATTAGGATGGCTGGGGAACTTCATGTGGAGGTAGTATAAATTTATTAACATGTATTTTCAAGTAAAATGAGCCCTGTGACTTTCAGATACTTAATTGCCGCCCAGTAGAAGTTTCAGTTTCAAGTTTTAATCAGAATTACTTGGTATTAGTTTCTTAAAGCAACAGTATAAGCAGATTAAGTAGCTAAGATGCTGTTTACATTTTAATTATGTTTTCAAATATATGAGTGAGTCTTAGAATATACGTGAATATAATTTATTTTCTTAAATGAGTAGACACAATTGGCCTTAATTCTGAAGTGATATTTGTTAATATCCTTACAATCTTTCCCTCCTTTTTAAAAATCAGAAACTTCACTCTGTCATCTAAAATGCATTTTGATTTAATGATTCAGAATTGTTGATTTGAATAAAATATCTTCTTTGGGAACTTAATCTAATATTTTCCTACTAAAAAATGGCTATTCATATCCTTAACATGGTGGATTTGCTTAGAGATACTGGTTTTGAGCGTTTTCTGTGATCTTTCATTGTGGATGCAGATAGGTTACATTTTATTTTCTGAAAATGCCAAGTGTCTTTTATTTTCTTTGACCATTGGCTGTTTTAAATTAAACTTTTAAATAAAATCATCCCTTTTTTTTTTTCATGAGATGCTGTTAATAGTAGCTTTTATTTAGTACTTATAAATGCCAGGTGCTATTTACTCACTTTATGGGGATTAAAATGTTAATTCTCATAACAACCTTAAGAGGTAGGTATTATATTATCTACACGTTAATAGATGAAAAACTGTTAAGTTAAATAAATAGGCCAGGATCGTACATATAGTATGTTGTGGTGAAAACCTTGGCCATTCAGCTCCGGAGTTCCAGTACCTACTGTTTACTTTCAAAATATATAAATTACAAGTGCTTTTGGTACATATTTGCTCTGGAGAGCCCAGTTTTGGAAACTCATATAAAATGCACAACCTCAATCGATAAGATAAGAAAAGTGGTTTGATTATCTTCAAGAAAGCAATAGAACTTGAATGGCCAATAGTTCAAAAAGAAAATAATCTAGGTGTTTCCTATAAATACGTTCTTGGCTTTTGTGCATCCTTTAAACATTGAATTGCTCACTGACCTTTCTGTAGTTTGCCTCACATCCATTCCTCTCCTCTTATTAGCTCTTTTTTTCTCTTGAAAAATGGCTGTGATTTGGCTTAATCTTAGCCCACCTCTGTGTCATTGTTTAGGACTGAACTCTGCTGTGTACCTGAAGGCCTTATTTTTTCTGTCTAAAATCAGTAGCATTGATTTTATATTTCTCACAGGCTTAATAAAAACAATTTAAGAAGGAACAATCATTTCAGCTTATCACACAATAATTATTTTGATAGGACTTATGTGCACTAAGTGATCTGTGATTATTTACATCAACTCTCCAGGGACTAGCCTCATGCTTCTGATTCTCTCCTCCCAAAAAATGTTTTTATTGATTTCAGAGAGAGGAGGGGAGAGTGAGAGATAGAAACATCAGTGATGAGAGAGAATCATGGATTGGCTGCCTTCTGCACACCCCTCCTAGGGATTGAGCCCGCAACCCTACATGTGCCCTGACTAGGAATGGAACTTTGACTTCTTGGTCGAACCTCAACCACTAAACTACACCAGCAGGGCTCCTAGGTTTTACTTATGCCTTCTGCAAACTGGTCATCTGCTTCTTTTTCCAGTGAGCTGGTTGGTACCAGGCCTGCCTATTTAGGATGATGTCTGTCACTATTTTTCAACCTGGACATGAATCGTGCTAGGCACCATCAACAGTAAACATATACCAATTCATACAGTAGCTTGTGTTACTCCCACCCCCTGAAACATTTTACTCTTTCTATGATTAAATGATGCACTGAAGACGGATTCAAAGAGGGATTTCTATATAAAATTGAACATTAATGATGAGCTTCAGGATGTCAGTTGGCATTCAAAACGCTACCTGAGAGTATGAAAGGATGGAATTCATTTTCATATAAATTAGCTCTCTTAGTCAATTTAACATCAGAAACAGATCATTTTATTGTCCCAAATTAGGTGTTGCTTTTAATTTTTTAATTTATTTTTTAAAGAAGGACATTTGATTAGCATTGTTATGCTGATGCATTAAATGAAGGAATCCTCAGTGCACAGCCCACCGAGCTGCAAGTGGATAAATCAGGAAGTGAAAAGGAAGGTGTTGCCTTTTGACCTGATGAGTTTTTCATGTTAATCTGAGAGAGAGCTTTAGATTGGATGAAATGCCAATGCACTTAAGTTATTCTTGCAGTTTCTTTATAGGACCAAGTTCATACTGTTAATGTTAAATTATAAGCTTATGTACTGTGCATATAAAAAACAAAATATTTATGAAAATTTATCATAGATAATGAATCTCTGGAGGTACTAAACATGCTTAGTAAAATATATTTCAATTATAGAGTTTATGGCAAAGACAGGAAAGTGAGATATTTAGAGGGCATGTGTTGCTACCCTTCAAAAAAAAACTTTCCTATACTTGAGCCAGAATATGGAGCATAACACATTTTTTAAAAATTGACATTATTTCATGTGTAGGTGGAACTTTTATGAGGAAATGTTGTATTTATTTATTAATTTTTAATATATTTTTATTTCCCTTCCGAGAGGATAGGAGAGGGATAGATAAAAACATCAGTGATGATAGAGAATCATTGATTAGCTGCCTCCTGCACACCGCACTCTGGGGATCAAGCCTGTGATCCCAGCATATGCCCTAACTGGAAATGGAACCCTAATCCCCTGGCTCATAGGCTGATGCTCAACCACTGAGCAGCACCAGCAAGGAGGAAAGGCTGTTTTTAAATGCTGAAAGCTTGTCACATGAAAAGGAAATGATTCTTCATGAATCTAAATGATCGAAAAAGAAATACAAGTTATAGGGAAGAAGGCTTTAGGATTAACATTCTGCTAATTAATATGTTGCAAAAGTGAAATGAGCACCCTGATGTGATGGCAAGAACCCCATCCTGCAGGCATTCCAGCAGTGACTACATAGCATCTGCATGGGGAAACCGTATAGGTGGAGGATTTCCTGAGGCTGACACATCGCACAACTCCCATTCCTTCTCCAATCTCCAAGAGTCTGTCTGTGGGTCCATGAATGGATAGCCTTCAAGTTAGCTTATGAGAACCCAGTCTTCCACAACCCTCCCCCTCTATGGAATGTGCATGTTTACTTTTAATGTTATTGAACTTTATATTGTATAAAACTAATAAGATTGCATACATTTTTCTGTTAAATTTTTGCTTTTCAATATTATGTTCTATATATATCCCAATTTATTTATCCTTGTACTACTGATTGTATTGGATTATTTCCAGTTATTTTCCTTCTGATTATTGATGATATTGAGCATATTTTTGTCTAT